TCAGGAAAGGTAATTTCTGAACAATTTTCCAGTAGCTGTCCTTGCAGAATGCTAATCCAACCATTACAAGTTTCCTTTTAGGTTCCTGTTTCCTGAAGAGGAGTGAAGAACTGAACTGTGCTTTCACATACATGTCTCTGTAAGCTTTCCAAGTAGAAAAGGGGATGTTGTCCGAGCAGACTGTTGCCTCTACTTCCCTAACTTCTGACTGTATGTTAGCATTTCCACTCCAGATGCCTAGTGTTGAGGAAGGAGGTGATAGTTAGCATTTGCTGCTTTGAAGAAGTGTCCGTGAGTAATGCACAGTTGCTGAAGTAAGTAGGATAGATGTGGGAGCGAGTTGTGGGTTTCCCTTTATCTTCACAGCCTTAAATTGTTGAGAGAATTCCTGGCAGAGCCCCATGGGATGTGCAGTAGTTGTCACTTGTCAGGACTGTGTTACTGGTGTTCTGGCAGTGTTAGGTTGCTGGCCTGGGCCTCAAAGAAGAGATTTCTCCTTCCTTTTCTGCTGTTGCCCTTCAGCTTTTGGAGTATTTTGATTATGTTGTTGGGCTTCAGGCTGTGTTTCTGAGGCAACGCTTGTTCTGGGAGAAGACTTCTCTTGTCTGTCAGACAGGAGCATTGGAGAGGTCGGAGTGAGTATGAATCTCTCCTCTTTCTTTTTTTGTTTGTTTTCAAGAAGCTGCAAGTTTATGCAAAGATCCTTGGGTGCCTGTAGGCTGTCAGCTTGGCTAGAAGCCTGAAAACTGAAGTCTTACACATCTGAAAGACATCCTCTTTGTACGTGGATTGCATTTCTACACCCCCTTCTCCTTCCTCCTCCATTTTCTTTTGTTGCTTAATTTAGGAAAAACTTGGTGGAGCAAAGGCTGTTGCCTCTGAAATTGAAGAAACCGCATCTCTGAAGCAGTTCAGAAGGGAGGAGACAGAGAAGAGGATGACTAAAGAAACACCCTGGCCTGCACAGATAAACTTGTTGGGCACTGTAAAAATAGGGCTTGCAGAAACTTCAGGAAAGGGGGGCAGGTTTGTATGGGCATGATGCATGACTGTTGAGAGGAAGGAGAAATCTATTTAAAAATGGATGACCTTAGATAAAGAGCAATTTATAAAATAAAGGGATGCAAGAGAGAAAGAAGAAGAAACCATTTGGTTTGTCCGGCAAGTGTTAAGAGTTCTGTGAGGTAGCTGACAGTGTTTTGTTTTCTCTTGGGTTGCTGCTGTGCTGGGGGTGTGAAATACCACATTAAGGTGTCACTCTTCTTGCAGCAGAGGCTATTTTGAGGGAACAGGCAAGATAACTATTAAGTCTCAAAACTGTTCTTTCTGTTGTGAAACAGCACAAGGTCTTAACACACTTTACTGGCATATTTGCATTTGTTGTAGTGTAAGTTAACACATGAGGAAAAATACTCTTTCATAATTAAACAGGAGAAAAAGATAAGGGGAGAAAGCGGGAATAATGAAGGATTTGGGGGCTATTCTTCCCCGAGCTTGCAAGGTCTGTATTAGTGAAGAGTTTTTTTAGTTTTGTTTGCTTTTTCCAGGGCATTCAGAAAAGAAAAGTCTATACTGTTGCAATGAAGGTGCATCCTTTCATATTAGACTGAGTTATGTAATAAAAATATTTCTGCATAATACAGAATAAACTAATGCAAGCTTAAATATATTGAAAATCACTATGGAAGATGGAAGAAAAAAAGCCATGCTTAGTGCATGTCATCTTTGTTCTGTAGCTGATTTCTAAAATGTGCCAGTGATGTGTGGCCCTAACAAACAAATTTGCCTAAATTTTTGACCAGAAAGATCTGTACTGAAAGCATCAAATGTAGAGTTTTCTTAGAAGAACCTCCCCAGTGTCCTGTGTAACTGAAAAGACACTGCTGTTTCCCCATTTTCTGTTTTCTGTAGATAAGTGTTCATCCTCGTGGCATAGCTGATTCAGGTTTTCTGAATCTGTTGGCTTTTATCATGGAAAAGTTATGTAGGCAAATTAGCTTTTCATCTTGCTCTGGCATTGTGCAGGAGTGAGGACTTGAAATAATACCAGTGGGAAGATGTTTGAGGTGCTTACTTGCATCCTTGCAGTTTTCTGTGTTCAGTTGCTTATGAGCAGTTTGATACTTTTCATTCTTCACTGTGCCTGCTGGTCTCCAGCTCTTCTGAGATTTTGTCTATTGCAGATAGTATCAGTGTCCTTATTCTCAAATTCAAAGTGACTCTGTTCTCAGTGGCAGTCCTTTGAGCAGAATCTGAACAAAATACGGTTGTGTACTCCTCTTGCAAGAAATTGTTCTTTGCTCCTTCCAGACATGTGGGACATAATGCAGGGAAGGAGCACTATCAGGAGGCATCAAGTAGTTTAACATACTGTCAAAAACCAATCGAAATTTAAAGACTTTTTTTTCTTTCTGAACAGGATTGTGTGCAACCTGCACTCTGCTGACCTCAAGAGATCTCAGTAACCTGACAAAACCCTGCTGCCCTACTGATACCCCTTGCTGTGTCAGAGCACTGGTGACTGACTCTGTGTGAGCATCTCTTTGATACAGAAACCATGCAGCAGGGAATTTGTTAAGACATACAGCCAAAAAAAGCTGATAAGCATAAATCAGGAGCATAGTATTTCTTTTGTCCTGCACTTACAATGAGCAGGTCAGAGACTGTGAGGAAGAAGGAACAAAACCAGCTGTTAGACATTCTGCTGAAGCTGGTATGGATGTGAAAAGTCATACAGAGAGAGGATCTTAAAGTAAAAATTAGTCAATCAAAAACTGAAAGTTCGTTAAGAACTAGATCAAATCGGTGCAAGTTACAGCATGAATTCCTCAGTTTTGGTTTTAAGTGGCTTCTTAGCTCAAAAGTTTGAGAAACTGCTTGGAATTAACTATTGTAGTTTTACAGTTTAGTTTTTGCAGTTTTAGTGTACGTTTCAAATGGGAGGGGGAGTGATTTTCTTTTGATTTACAGAACTAGAGGCATAGGTTAAAACCTATACTTGTAAATAGTTGGAAGCCCTTAATTCCACTGTTTAAACTCAAGGTCTAGCTTGACTTTATCCAGAGCTTGACTCCACCTTGCAGAGTCTTCCTATCACTGTTCAATACCAGTATTTGAAAAGGAACAATAACACTTTCCCCCGACCATGTGTGTTATTGTCACCCTGCCAGAGCTGACAGCATTGGGCTGACCAGTCTGACTTTGAAACTTACCTATTCTTAGTGCTTCTGGATAGATAATGCTGTCATTTAGAATTGGTTGGCTGTAAATATTTTCCTCACTGTACATTAGAAGCTTTGAATTCTTACTTGTATGGTCTTACAAGCAGTCCTAGTGTGCTGTCTTGCTGAAGAATTATATTCAATCTAGGCTTTTTGCTGGGGAGAGAAGGTGACAAAGTTCAAGCTCTTGTATAGAAAATTAAGTATGCAAAGCACATTTTTCTTAAAATAAATGGGTCATTCCTTTGTAAAATCCAGTGTAAACAGGCTTTATAAATTAACAGCTGAGAAGGCTGCAGAATGCCACCTATAAAGCAGTGTTTATCTGGCTCTGATGTGTAGTGGCAGCATACCTAGAGGATGCCCTGGTAATTCAGCTGTTGATTCTCTAATTGCTTAGAAGTAAGATGTGAGAAATGGAAAAGTGGTTGTGATTGTTCATCTGTCATGACCTTACCAGAAGCTTTGTAGGAATCAAATAGCTGAATTCCTGCTTCTTGGTTGACATTGTGATTTTACAGCGTTTTGTGTGTAAACAGCATTGATGTGGAGATGACTCTGAAACAACACCTATACGGCTAAGACATCTGGGTTTTTTTCTAAAACTTTGACAGGTAGGCTTAGACCATGGCAGATTTCTTTGGAGCTTGTCTGCTGTAGGATTTTTAGCAGTTGTTTCTTCATAGGTTAGTGCAACATAGGAGATTGACGGCTGAAGAAACAGCCTACTGACAGATAGGATGGCTTTCTAAAAGTGGGGAGAAGTTGGGTGCCTGGACCAGACAGCACAATAAAAAAAGTCAAAAATTCCTGGAAAGTCAGCTAGAAGGTGTGGTTGATTAACTTGTCCTATTACTTACTGTTAGTGCAGATCTTTTTACACTTCTCTAGGAAAGCTGTCCAGAAGTGGTATTCTGTATTATACTTCAACACTTTATAGGTTGCAAGACAGTTCCACCTGGGGTAGGAGATGATATCTAGACAAGGACTTAGTTTCTTTTTTAAAAATTATTTTTCCCTCACAATTTTTTCTGTATACAGTTGAAGAACTGACCAAGAGGAAACAAAGTCTAAATAGATTTAATGGGTTTAAAAGCTGCTTGACAGAACATGTCTCGCATTGTTTTCTGTCCCTCTTTTGCTTTGACTTTCTTGAAACTCTGTCTGTGATCAGTGTTTGGTCTGCACCTGCGTGTAACAGTGTGTGTTGTGCCCTCTGATCCAATTAGTTCCCTAGCTCTTGCAGTTTCTGTAGGAGAAAAGTGTCGGTCACCTGGGAGACAGGATGCAGACAGCAAGGACAAGCGAGATGTGACTGCTAGTTGAGAGTTGAAGCGAGTGCAAGGACAGCAGGACAGGAGAAGAGGTGGGGTTGTAGCCTTGGGCATCAGCTGTCTGAAGTGTGTCTTTCTGCAGTGAGCAGTTTCTCGGTTTCAAGTCATCTGGTAGTTCTTGCATGCTAAGCAAAGGGGGGTGTGTGTGTTTCTGCCTTTATTTTTTAAAAAAATTAGATGATGGGGCAATGGACTGCTCAGGTTCTTGGGCACTTCAGTAGGGAAGTTCAACTGTGTCGATTTTCCTGGAGTTCTTTGGCTGGTTTTGGGACTCATTTTTATGTTTCAGGTAGAAATTGCTGGATTGAAACATACTTAACAATATTAGCAAATCTAAGTGGCCCAATAGAACGCTGTGGTTATAGCAGACAGAATTAACCTGCCTGCTTTGGAGTGGAAATCATTCAAATGTACAACTGTGAAAGAACAATTCTTTCTTTGGCAGCTGTGGCAAGCCCTGTTTTGTGGCAGAAGGACTGTGTGAAGGGCCCGGAGGTATGGTGTCAGAGTGTTCGGACAGCATCGCAGTGCGGAGCGGTGAAACACTGCCAGCAGAATGTCTGGAACAAGCCTACTGTAGTAAGTATTGACTACTGAGATGTTTTCCCACCTGTAGTTGAGGTAGCTGGTTTTCCTATGCTGATGGAGATTTTCCGAGTCTCTGATCTAAGTGCTACATCTGACTGAGCCTTGGTTACTGTGCCTTAATTTGGGTGCTAGATAAAGGTTGCTTTCCACTTCTCTGCCTTGCACAACTTGCCTGCTGACTTTCCCTGTGACCTGTTGCACAATCACCAAGCAATGTGTGGAATGGAGTTAGTGGATTTCAGACTCGTTCCTCTTTATTAAAACGACTCCTAATTCCTAGAGCCTTTTCTTATTCTTAACTTGAGCAATGCCGGCCTCATAGGCATATTCTAAAGAAGCATATAGCTTTTTTTGTGTCTTTCTCATAAGTTAATGTTCCACAGAAGGTGCAGCTAAATTATAGAAGCTATGGCAGTAAATAATGGTCCAAATGTAACATTTAATGTGGCTTTTCAAGTTGCATTTGTACTAATTGTGAGTGCTGCTTTACTAGATGTAGCTGTACTTTGTGGTATTGTTTCACAGTTTTCTAGGGAAAAAAGGCATTTTTCCTTACAGATGCATTCAGTCCACCTTTGCTGTATCTGCACCGAGATGTTTCAGTTTGTGGAAAAGCAGGGGAAGGGAGGAATGTCAGAATGGCAGAGCACAACTAAAATGAGTGAAGCTGCCTGAAAAGTTCTTAGATTTCTAGTAAGTGTGAATGCTGTGAAGAGTAAGGTAAAAGGTTCAGGAGGAGGCTTCTCTGGGCAATATACTTTATACTTCAAGGGAGGTGGGACTAGGTGAAATGAGCAAGTGGTAGCATGCCTGTTTCTTCATGCTGTGTTGATTTACTGAAGAGACTGGAGCTGGACATGCTTGGAATAGTCTCGCTCTTCATTTAAAAGGACCTCTTCCCTTCCTAGCTTCAGCCTGTATTTCTTCCTTAGCTTCAATTCCAAATGTGATGCTTGTTCTTCACTTTGTTATTCACACACTACATTTACAGGTGCTTAATTCTGTCTCAGAGTAACTCTCTACCTCTTTCTCCAGAACAGTATTCCCTGTGACTTGTGTAAGGAACTTGTGACGGTGGCTGGCAGGGTTTTGAAGGATAATGGCACAGAGGTAAGCAGAGCTCCTGTCTTGCCCCAGGGCACCATTTGATTTCATTATCTTAACAAGATTACAAGGTGAGGGGGTGGAAGAGTAGTCTGCTGGTGTTTTCCCACCTTAAGCAGCAAATGTTGAAAAGGGCCAGAGTGCATAGGAAAAGGCTTTTAAACAGTCTCTTCTGGTTTAGAGATTAGCAAATTCTAGAGCCTCTCCCACTCTAAAACATCCCTGATTGACTGTAGGTGCCTCAGAAAATTGTTCTTGTGCCAGTGGGCCATTGATCTTAAAAGGTGAGATACTGCAGTCTCTAGAAGTAGATGATTACACCAAGTGGACTTTATTTTGGTTGTGGGCACTTTTTCCCTTTTATGAACCTGGAGGTACTGTGCCAGCCCATAATTTCACTACTTCTTAAATGTATTTGTTCTGTGCTGGTGAGACTGGGGTGTGCAGGCCTTGTTGGCAGTATTTCATGTTCTCACTTTGGCAAAGTTCAGGATTGGGGAAAATATACCTGTAATATAAAACCTCATTGCAGTTTTTCTTGCCAACTGCCTGGACCTACTTGGGTCCAAGGGGCTTTTTTAAGTGTTTGTATTGTGTGGTTTGGGAATGGAAAGAGCATTTGAGGGAGAGATGTATTTTGATACTCTATAGCCCACCTCATCTTTTATAGGATGAGATCCGTTCTTACTTGGAAAAGACGTGCGAGTTTCTTCCTGACCAAGAGCTGGTCTCTGAGTGCAAAGAAATTGTGGATTCCTACCTACCAGTTGTCATGGATATGATTAAAGAAGAACTAGTAAGTAGATAACAATTTGAAACTGTTGGGATTAAAAATTGTGCTCCCATTGATGCCTGGAGTTCTACATAAAATTCTGCACGTGATCCTTGAATCCTGTATGGATCGCTGGTGTTGCAATTAGTGGCATAAATTTGAGGACTGCTTCTTTGCTGTGAATCATTTTCCTGTCTTATGCTTCAGCTGAATGACATTCTACTCTGAACTTCATATGAAAGTGCTATCAGTGTAGAGCTTTATGTATGTGTCTTATCTCGCCTAGGATAAACCTGAAGTTGTATGTAGTGCCCTCTCACTGTGCCAGTCCCTTCAGAAGCACCTTGCAGCAATGAAACTTCAGAAACAACTCCAGTCCAATAAGATACCAGAGCTGGACTTCTCTGAGCTGGCGTCCCCATTCATGGCTAATGTGCCTCTTCTCCTTTACCCTCAGGACAAACCCAAGCAGAAGTCTAAGGTAAGGGTGCAGTGCTATTCCAGCATGTCTGCTGTGTTTTGCTCCAGAGCTTCAAGTGCTCCTTAGCATAAGAATTTACTGATGATTCTTGGTAAGGGGTTGTTGTACAGGACATGGATTAAACTGGTGTGCTTCACCTGCATGACTGTCTCCTATTGAATTTTGTACTGCTGCATACAGACAACTACCTTTTTCCATCATCTGTGAGTTTAAAGCGAAGGTGATAGCTGCAGTTCCTGTGCACCGTATGTATGATCTTGGATTAACAACTGCAGTCTATAAAGACTAGTCTTGTGCTGGGCTGTTCCTAGCCAGGACTGCAGTAGTCAAGCAGGTCTTACTGGAAACAATTTCTTCTGAGAGCGAGTTTGGCAGTAGGGTTCAAAAGAAGAATAATTCTCTCACATTCTGAGTAATCTGCTAGCTGTGCCCTTCAGGGGAAGCATTCCTCTCTGAATCCAGAGATGACAGACTGGATCAGAAAAGAATAAATAGTTGTCAGAGGGGAGTAGATGAGACAACTTGTGAGTAGAGACTGAATCTTGTTAGCAAGTCTAGACATGAGAGTTAAAACATTTGGGTGGGTGGAGAACAAGCTGCTGTAGGTGGGGCAGGTAAGGTCTACCCCAAATTTAGCCACCTTTCTACTGTAGTCTGTAACAAAACCAACAGGTTTTGGAGATAGGATATCTTAACAGTTATCTCGGGTTTCAGAGCCAAGTAGGTACCTAATCTCCATCTAGCGGCTGGTGTACATACTGGCAGTAACTTTTCTATTTGTATTAGCTCAGGCTTTTGAGTATTCTGTAGAGTGTTTATTAAGGTTTGTATATATTAAAGTAGTTTTTAAAACTTGGTGGCAACGGAAGCTTCTAAAACATGTTATGTGAAGATATGTCAACTTAAGTTTTCTTCCACTCTTTGTCCAGGGAAGTGGGGAGGTATGCCAGGATTGCATTCAGCTGGTTACTGATGTTCAGGAAGCTGTGAGGACAAACTCATCTTTTGTAAAGTCTTTGGTTGCTCATGCCAAGGAGGAGTGTGACCGTTTGGGACCTGGAATGTCTGATATGGTAAGCTATTTTTTTGTTTGTTTAAAAAAATATGTTCCTGTATGTAAACATGAAATAGTTTAAGTGCCTTAATCCTCTCAATGTAATCTCTATTTAATAAAACAAAGGTGAGTGTGTCACATGTAGGGTATGTTACACAGTGTAACAAATACAATGGTGAAATAATTAACTTTCTAGTCAAGAAAGTTAGGTGGGGTGTTGTGTATGGGTCTGGGGAAGAGGAAGGACTCTCAAGATTGCTGCTAGGTCTTAAAGGCCTTTTTCATAAAAATGATCTGGCAGGGTAATGTGGTCATATCAATGGTGGGAGCGGGGGAAGTGCTTTTGCTCTGAGAGGAAGAGAAAAGCGCTCATCAGATAAGCAGCCATGTGTGTAATGATTGTGTAACCTGAAATGCCTATCTTATATTTGGGACAAGCTCTGAAAGACAACAGAATAGTTATTAAGTAGGGCAGGTAAATTAATACCTTGAGATGTATTAGAAAATTCTAGATTAACTCTACATCGTAAGTGGTTTGATATTTACAAGACTTTCTTTTCCCACTTCCCACAGTGCAAGAACTATATCTCTGAATATTCTGACTTGGCTATCCAAATGATGATGCACATGGTAAGATCAGTAGAACATAATATTTGCTCTTGGTTAATATTTCTGCTTTGTGTAGCTAACTTATTTGGAAACAGGAAACAGCAGTAAAAGTCTGGGGAGAGCCCTTGCTCTACAAGTCTTGGTGTTAAGGCTTTGAACTTGGCATTTAATTAGGTAGTAACTTCAGTCTCGGAATGCTTTCTTTAGCACTTTTCCTTTTTTCACAACCACTTAGTGGTGCACAAGGCACTCTAATCCTTTGAAACACAGGAGATGGATTACATTATGTTCCCTTACACTCTTATTTCAGTTCTGTACTTACACTACTTCCCCCCTCCTCACCAGATACTATGTTAAGCGTATTAGAGGTGGTCTTTCTCACTGTGTTGCAAAATTGGTTCAGGTGTTAATGATAATGTCTGTCTGAAGCAAGACTAAATGTCCTTCTGGAATTGTCATCTTAAGACTCCTGCTCTCTGGGCTCTTGATAGGAGCCACAGAAAGTGAGTGGTACTGCACCAGCTCTGGTCTGCAGCAATATACAATATATTTTACCTCTGACCACCACCATAGCACCTCTTTATCCAGAGATCTCAAAGCCTCAAAAAAAGATAAGCCTTTCCTTAAAGAATGAAGTGCCTAGATGCCACAAGTAACAAATTATAGGTGAATTTATGAATAGAGCATGTGGCTGACTTGAACCTGAGTTTGACAACACAGTGGCCTCTTTTTAAAGTTTCCAGTTGCTAAAGGCTACTTAGAAGCTCATACTGCTGCTTAAGCGTTCGGGAGGAAGCAAAGCTTTTTGCCAACAACAGTTATTTTCTCACTTCAAGCATTGCAATGCGGTGTGGTGTTAATACCAGAAATTGGAGTATGACCACACCTTGCATCCGGCTGAGTGTTATTCATGCTCTTTGGAGGTAGTCTTGCCCAGGATGCTTTAATAACTTCAGATGAATAACGCTGGTTAGCACTGGGCAATTAAATGTGAATTGCTGTAGCAATGCTAAAGCTCTTTGGGGTGGGGACCATGTCATATTCCATCACCTTCATGGAAAGAGTGTATGCAGTTCCAAGTGCTTGACTTTTTTTTTTTTCTCTTAACTGTTATCTTTAATTTCTCCTTTCTTCCTCTGTCTCCAATCTCCCCTGTCAACAGAAGGATCAGGTAGGTGAGCAACTTGCCTGTGGTGATAGCCTGCTTGTAGTTTACTTCCTGCTCTTGAAGGGCTTGTAGTTCACTTCTTGCTCTATTAGCTGTGTACATGTGTGATTGTACTCCATGTTGACAGATACAAGGGATGTTTATGTGATTAAACCAGAGAAGGACTATAGACTTCTTCCAGTGGATCAATCCTACTTTCAGCTTCAGTTTGTGCTACTGAGATTTCAGCTTGATTATGCTTTGACCAGTGGAGCAGAAAATATGCTCACTTTCATACAAGAAGAATTAGATGTAGAAAAAGCATGCTGGTGGCTCCTCACAGCTGCTGGTTTAAAGTCTGGCCTCAAAAGGGCTTAGTGAAGCTGTCCCTGGGTCTTTTCTTGGTTAACCTTTAAATCTAGGACAACGCTATCGATGTTTGAAGTATATGAACTGAAAAGAAGATGCGGGAGGCTTTTAGGCTCCTGCTTCCTAGAGCTATCTGGGCTTTTAATTTAATCAGTCCTGGGAGACCTTGTGTCTGTCATCTCTCTGAGAGAACATGTTGTGTGCATGTGGGTGTTGCTGTCACATTAATATCTGGAAATGCTTCTTACAATGCATGAACCAAAGGGCTTGACTTAAAGGTACTGCCTGGAGTAGTCTGAAGGAGCACTGTATTTTTGAGATACTGCTTTTGCCTGTGCATGAGGTTGTGGCATGATGTATTAACTGTTGCATAAACCTCTGCTGTAAGAAGCTTGATGCCCTGGTGACAGGGTGGGGTATGATCTTCTAATTACGCATAGGACCAAAAGTAACTTTTTTTTAGCTTAAGTAGACTTCAGGTGGGAAAATTCAAGTTTTGTGTATTACTCTGTATGGCCTTTCTCACTTTGTGTGGATATGATGTGGCCTCCTTAGAGCAGTTTGCCTCATGTCTGGCATTTATTTCTGCATTTAGTAATGTATGTTTCTAAAAGCTCTGAGGAAGACTTAGCCTTTTTTAAGCCTTTGTTTCTTTTTGCTGTTTTCCCTCTTACTGTGGAAAGAATATTTGACATACAGTTACTGCAGATACTGGTATAAAGGGTTAAACTTAGGTTTTAACGGTTAACTTTTGTTTCTTATAGGCTGTATTCAGTAATGAGAGAATCTGTTTCTGTTTGCAAAATGTGATGTTACTGGCTGCTTTAAAGAAGGTAGTTTGTGGATGAGGAGTTCTTTCTTCTAGGCGTTTCTTTCAGCTTTTGGGTGAACTCTGTAGTCAGGATAATAAGCCTCTTCCGTGATTACTTCAAGCTTTCAGGGGAGGAGCTTTGCGGATGCAGGTCTGATGTGATGCTGGTGGCCTGTTTTGGTGCTGGTAGCTCTTAAGTCAACTCCTTTGAAGGGCTTGCATAGTGTATCAGCTCATGGTAAATGGGGTTTTAAAATGGATGTGGCTTAACCTCTTTTGTAAAGGAGCTGCTAAATTTCATCTGGTAGTTGTCCTGCCTATAACTGTATCAAATGCTTTGGCAATACTCGAGGTAGAAGTAGTCAATGAAACTTCTAGTTGTGTTGGAGCCTTTTAAAACTTTGTGCCCGCTCACAGGCTCCATGGAAAGAAGAGTCTTCTAGACTTTTAAAAATTGCTTATACCTCTCTTTCCAGCAACCGAAGGACATCTGTGCCATGGTTGGGTTCTGTCCTTCTGTGAAATCTGTTCCTCTCCAGACTCTGGTGCCAGCTCAGGTGGTTCATGAAGTGAAAATGGAAACTGTGGAGGTAAGATGGACTCTTTGTACTGAACAGCTTTTTCATCTTTTTTGCTTTAGTGTAATGAACTAGGTGAAACAGAAAAATACGAGCTTTTATGCATAGAATAATCCAGGTCTGCCTGCGTATAAATTCCTGGCCTCCTCTTGTTTCTGACACTGATCTGTGAAGTAGGAGAGCTGACTGATTTGTAAGAATAGCAGAGCCTATGCTATACTGAAGCTAAAGGGTAATACTTCAGGATTGAATGGGAGCTCTTATTCCAGCAGTGGAGTATAGCAGCCATTTAAATGACACCTCAAATGTTAGAGGGCAAATTGCTGGAGTTTTGCTCTACATTTGTGGTTTTAGTCCCTTTTAAAAATGGAACTGCACTCTGCATGTGCAGATGAGAGCTCAGTCAGAATGCTGAAGCTCCAAGTTTGAAGAAGCACCTTTAGCTTCTCCTGGGTTGAGCTTTTTTTGGAAAGTCTTTTTTGAGGACAGCTAACTTCTGATTAACAGGCGCCAAACAATTTCCCCTCAAATCCCTCAGTTTCTAGGTTTATTTTGCAAATAGGAGAGTGCTCTCAATTCTAGTAAACTTTGTCCTCAATGTATTTCAAAAACCACTTTGTATTTCCCTTGACTCCAGTCACTGTGGGGCTGCTTATTTCTCTGTGTCTACTAAATTCAACTTTCCTCCTCATACAACCTGGGGATTGTAGTCTTAATTAGTCACACAAAATGGCCATTCAGAAAGGCTTTTTACTGAAACCTTGGAGGTTGGTTGTGGGTTCTGTGTGATCTTCTGAATTCAGCTCAAGTGTGCTGCACCTGAATGTGAAAGCTTGTTAGACAGATATTTTAGAAAGTGTCCCTGCCAAATGTAGTCAAGTGCTGATTCACTATTTTGTATATTTCTTTTGTGTACTCAGAAAGCCCCAGTTCAAGAGAAAACTTTTTCCTTGTGTGAAATATGTGAGACCATGGTAAAAGAAGTGACTGGCCTTTTGGAGAGCAACAAGACAGAGGTGTGTAAGTGGTGGAAATGGTACCTCTTCCTAGGCTTTGGCTAAAATGGGGCTGTATGGGAGGGGGAAGGAAAGTTAATTTTATTGCCTGTTATCATGGGAGTGAGATTTCCATCCTGGGTGAGAGGGAGTAAGAAAACATGTACCTTTGAACTGAGTCAGTTTTCTGTTCCTTGTTTGCCTCGCTTCACTGTGCTTCAGGAGGAGATTGTGCATGAAATGGAGGTGGTCTGCTACCTGTTTCCAGCAAGTGTCAAAGACCAGTGTAAGGACTTCATAGATGTCTATGGCCAGGCTCTGATTGACATGCTCTTGGAGGCAACGAATCCTGAAGCTGTGTGTGTTATGCTGAAATGCTGTGCGACCAACAAGCCTCCACAGCAGCCAGGTTGGTAACAAGGAATCAGTGGTGTTGCAAAATGAGCTAGTTCACCTATGATTGTCTCTTTTGAGGATATGTCCTTTAGTACTTTGCTGGTGCTGCCTCCTTTCTTCTATTTGGGGGAATTACCTAAGCACTGATTTTATTTTTTTTTTCTTCTCAGTTTTAGTGAAACCTGCAGGTGGCTTCTGTGATATCTGCAAGATGGTGGTAGCTTATGCGGACAAAGAACTAGAGAAGAATGCCACGACAGCTGAAATTGAAGCTTTACTGGAAAAAGTCTGTCACTTCCTGCCAGAGTCTGTCAGTGATCAGGTAAAGTGCTTGCGTAGGAGGCAGGATAAAAAGCGATGGTCTTGTTGATGGTTGGGAACTGTCCTTGCTACTTTGGTGGGTTTACTTAGATCCTACAGTGACGATTAAGCTTACCTTATTTTCTGTGTGTTTCACCTGTCATCCTGTCCACATGCTAATTTTAGATCCGTCTCGCAAGTGTCTCTACTGCTATGAATGTCCAGGTACTCATAACAGAGATCTCTGTGTCTGGGTGACTGCCTTGGTCTTTGGCTGGAGACAAACTGTCCACAGGTGCAGCTGGGTCTGGCTTGTGTTCAGCAACGTGATCCTTCCTAGGTTTCTCCCTTTGCTAGTTAGCAGCGAAGTGTAGCAGTTTCTCATGTGCATCAGAGCAAAAAAAAGAGGGAGCAGGCTTGATCCAAGGCAGCCAAATGACGACACAGGCCTTGCTGTGTGGCAGCCTGCCTTCTGCTCAGAACAGTGCAGGTGGAGATGAAGAGGACAAGACATCTTGCAGAGTGTTTTTAAAAACTAGAGAGCAGCATCTCTTGGTGGTTTTTATAAGAATAGTCAGTCTTCCTCTGTGAGAGGCTGAAAGGAATTAGGGGTGCAGGGGCATTAGGTTTTTGCACTCCCCATCCTTGAGGGTTAGTAGTCTTTTGAATAGATGGTGATTTTTTTTTTAAGGGCCTGAAATGGCTGGCTGGGTGGTTGTACTAATTTGCAGTCGGTAAAGGTTTGCCTGGAAATCCTCTGAGAACAGTGGGTGGGAACAGCTGAAGGGTTTTGAAGGGTTGTTTTTTTTCCTCAACACTGATCCTGTTCAAGGGATTAACGAAGTAATTGGAAATAGGCTGGCATAAGTCAGTGCGACAGCAAAAAGCAACACCTGTTAGGCCACTGCTATCAAGATTTACCTGGAAATCTTATTAGATGGCTGCTGAGCATCAGCAAGTGGCAGCTGCTTGTAAGTTTACTTTGGTGTACAATATACAGGCTTAAAGCAGCTATGAAACACTATTCCTGGTAACTGCTGTGAGGCTGTTTAATAGCTGTGGTTTGCTTATTAATTGGTGCCGTTAGTCCCTGCAGAGAAGGCTGGTATCTGGGTGTGCTTTGGAGATGGCCTCCCCACTAGAGGGCTGGCTGCTGCCGATGAGAACTGCTCATCCTGCTGCCTGGACCGAAGCGAATAGCAACTACTTGGGCTAAAAGTGCTCCAGAGTCATTCCTGTTCAGGATGTTTGTCTCCAGCCTGTTCAGTGTGCTTTCCTCTTGAGACAGCAGTGATCTCCACGATTACAGGCTAAGCTTTGCAAATCAGAGTGTGTCCTGCTTGGTTCTTTTTCCTTTTGACCCTTTTCTCATCATAACCTGACAGCTGCAGGCAGGTATGAGCTAGTAAAAAATGAGGTAGTTGTGTGATTAGTATGATGCCGAGTCCTTTTCTGTCTGCAAACCTCAAGCCTTTGCTTTATCAGTTTGGAGTGTATCTGGAGTGTTGTGTACAGGCCCGCCTGCTGCAGACCAGATCTTCCTCTTCTTTCTAAAGCTTCAACAAGAGAATCTCTTAACCTGTGTTTTGTTACAGTGTGTTCAGTTTGTGGAACAGTATGAACCTGTGGTTGTGCAACTCTTGGCAGAGATGATGGATCCCACTTTTGTTTGCACCGTGAGTATTGCGTTTAGTTCTGTCGCGCACGGGCTCCAACGCAGTCCTGCCTACTCCTCTGTACACCTCTCGGTGCCTAGTGTGCAGAAACTCTCCTGGAATAAAAATCAGCACGTTGAATGCTTGGAGCAAATGTGGTTGTGCAAGGCCTCGGGCTGACTGAATGGCCAGGTGTCTGACAGCTAGCCTTGTGCAAGGAAGGAGAGAAGAAAAGAGCTGCCAGTGGTTATCCACGTTGAGGTTCAGTAGCGATGTGTAGTGCGACCTGAATGCCATGAGAGGAAGTTAAATGACATTTTTGGAGAAAGCTCTTTCTCAAAACTTAATATGAAGAAGCAGTTGTGGTAACTTAATTCTTCCCTGTGTCAGGTTACTTCTTCATGTCTGCTCATTCAGCTGCAAGTGTGACCACAGCTGTCAGCTCCTGTGTCGCTTCCACACTCACTCAGGTGGAAGCTCAGGTGTAAAGCTGGACTTGAGATCTCTTGGTGCAAACAGAAAGATGCTGACTCTGTGCTCTTCTTTTCACAGAAACTTGGAGTCTGTGGATCAGCTAAACAGCCTCTCCTGGGGGATGACGCTTGTGTCTGGGGTCCAGGCTACTGGTGTAAGAACATGGAGACTGCTGCTCAGTGCAACGTACGTAAAGCAGGGTTCTGCCTCAAGTTCCCTCTTGACCTTTGGTAGCTCATTATAAACTACTTTCCTGGTTTTATACCACACTTTCAGGTGGATGAATTCCAGGTTCAGGAAACAAAAGAATAGCTAGAGCTGCTTGAGTTTGGTTAGAGGGTCTTCCATAGCCCTTAGCTTGCTTGAAGCAGACTGTTTCTGCTCCCTTACGTTCCTGTCTCCCACCTGCCTGCCAGCATTGCAGAACCTATAGTGAGGTACAGCGAGAACTTTATATTTAGTCTGTGTTCCTGCAGCCAAATGTACTGTGTCACGACCTCTCCTCAGGCTCTAAAAATTGGCTTCCAGCATTGATGTGGGCTGATGCTTTCTTTGCCAGGCCTTAATAGCTAAGGGTCATCAGCATTCTTTCCTGAAGCTTCTGGGTGGGGACGATTCTAGTCCTTTCTGGAAGCATTTTAAGAAAAACAAATTTGCTCCCAAGATCTTGGTTCAAAATAAGGCATTGAATTGTATGTGTAGATACACACTTGCTTGCAAACAGGCTTTTTTCCACTAACATACACTATTTCTTTCCCTTTAGGCTGTTGATCACTGCAAACGTCATGTGTGGAACTAGAAGAAGAATTTCCAGTTCTGAAAATTTGCCATGGCTCTTAATGTGGGCCAAGGTTGGCGGAGAGCTGTATCTCAAATGTCCCTCCTCTCTGCCTCATTAACAATTTGACCTTCAAGTTCCTTTATTGTAACTCTTCTGTAGCAATGCTGCTGTTGAAGGATCAGATCTTCATTGTTGACTTAACAGAGATATTTCTGATTGTACAGTTTAACTCATTATGCTCCTAAAAATAGTCAGTGTGTTGTAGATTTTTTTAATTGATAGGCTGAAGTGTTTTTTAGGTGCTGGGAAGAATGGCAGAGAAGGTGAAATGAGACAACTATTATCTTTTAATTTAAAAAAAGAACAAGATAATGACTAAACTTTCAAATGTCTTTCTGTAGTCAGCATTGGGAGGATTACATGCTTTGCATTTTTAACATCTGGCTGGAATATTAATTTTCTGTGTAACTGTAGGGGAACTCTAAGAGATAATGTTGAATCTGGGAATCCCTTCGGCTGGAATTTTCAAAGCTCTGCAGATGCAGAGGAGGGGCCTTTGTGTGCCCAGATACCTTTCAAATTAACTGGTACCTAAAAAGATGCATTTGCATTCAAGTGACCATGTTTTTGCATTTGGGTGACCATGCTTACAGCTCATGGTGTTATCATAGCTAAGGAAACCCTCCCTCAGCCTTTGATCATGTCCTTTTTATTTCCTCAGACTATTTGGTCTGAGCATGGGTGTTCTACTGTCAAGCCCTTTACAGTGGGATTTCTGTCTTCTGAAGCATGCTGATGTCCTTAAGGAATGGCTCCTTTTTTTCTTCTTACCCCTAGTTGCTCAATTCTGCTTAGTCTTGCAGCTTCCTACATGCAGCCAAGCAGGTGCCAAGGAGGTGGAGTGAGCTGGGTTGGTAGAAGATAGAGGGGAAAAAGTCATCAGGAGCTGTGCATATGTCAAAGTGAGTTCAGTATAGAGGGCAGAATGCATGGAAAAATAATTTTTATTGTAAACTGCCCTTTGTTTCTTGATCTTTTTTCCTTGCGTGGCATATTTCAGTCATCTAAAACTTCAGAGGTGCTATGAGACTTGTGGGGAGTTTCTGTTCACACCACCCGTTCTCACTGACGCTCAAACCATTTGAGTAGTTTGAAGTTTTTTTTTTCCAGAGTTCCCATTTCTGTTGGGAAATGAGTCTGAGTAGCACGCGGAGGTGGCAGATGGTGAGAGCTCTGCAGTGGGTATTTGGCAGCTCTGCTGGTGTACCTGACAACCTGCCTTTCATGTCCTTGCAGCATCCTGCTGAAACGGCCTGAACTTCTCAACAAAAAAGCCTTTCAGGGCAGGCTGCTGCCCTGGAAACAAGTCAGGCCCTTGAGGTTAGGGTCCTTGAGAACGAGAATCCTGCTTATGTTGCTTGAGACAGACCTTGCATCCCCTACCAGCAATTAGTGTGTAGTTCTGATCAAGTTAACCCCCAAAATGGAGGCACCAGAGTAGCTCTGAGGAGACCTTTGGGAAGGAGGAGCTGGGCAGAGGTGGAGCTTTGAAAATTCCAGTCCTGTTCAGAAAGGTGCCAGCAACTGCTACTGTTCCTGTGATGTCTCGGGCGAGGCGGGAGCTCGAGTAACAACGCTTTAGCAGCAAGCAAAGTAATTTTCATACAGTTCAATGGAAAACCACTCGACTGCAGCTTTTTAGCTATTTACGTGTACATACTAAATGTCTGGGCACTGTTGACAGATAGCAATACCGGTTTGTCTTTCCCATTTGCATTTGTACAGAACACTGAAACACTCGTGGCTTAAAAAAAGAAAAACAGTTTCTCCTAAAGATGTAAAATACCTGCAGCTTTGTCTTGACAGGCTTGTGCAGTGGCTCCAGCAGTGTATCCCTGTTGGGGTAGGTAGGAAGGAAGTGGGCTCCCTTCAGCATTGCTGCCCTGGAGGTACAGGTTGTGTTACAGGCGTGTGGTCTGGTATTTGATTTTTTTTTTTTTTTTTAAACTGAATGGTGTTCTCTTAACATGATTTTTTTTGGGGGGGTGGGGGGAGGTGGGAATGGATTGACACTTGGTCTTAAGGTTGGCAAGGTTTTAATTTTCTTGGGGTTTTAGTAGTGAAGGATTCATGCTAGCGAGCTGTCGGGCGGGGTGAACCAGGGGAAATCCTGTGCTAGCGCTGGGAAGTTTTCTCCCTTCCTGTGGACCGTGGCACCTGACCCGCTTGAGTTACGCTGGGGGGACACACGTGCAGTTGCTTTCTAAAGAACATTGTCTTGATTTTGCACAAAAGCTTCCTTAATGAACAATAAAAACTTCTGTAAACCATAAGTCTGTGTGTTTCATTTCCTTGTTGTGTGCTGGTTGCTGGAGGACCGTGCTAGCTTCCCCTTTGCTGCCGAGCCAGGAGAAGGCACGTCCCAGAATGTCGCAGGGAATCCGGGACTGAACGACAGGAATTGTAATTGCCTTGCAGCATGCGTGTCCCATCAAGCCTTTGTTCTGCTGAGGGCTGTTGCAGGTCTGAGAGGCTTGTCAGGGATTGCCACCGCCGCGCTCTTCCCCGGACACACGCAATGCCTGAGGTGAGGCAACAGCCCCGTGTTGCAATTCCTGGGCCTTGCGCAGGCTGCGGGGAGTTCCTGCTGAAGCCGCTTGATATCCTGACTTGCATTTAACGTGGCTTTCCTTTTGTCTTCATTCTTTATTTTGAATAAAATAGATGTCTTTTAAATGCTCTAAGCAAACACCTTGGCTCCTACTTACACCATTAATTCACCTGTCCTAAACATACTGGTCTTTAATGTCCCTGCACTGGACTTTTCTGTAAGGGATGATGCGCTGTTCAGAGAGAGCAGGGAGGAGGAACATGTCCCAGGACAGGAGGACAGTTCTCCTTGGCTGTGCCCACCCCTCGCTGTCAGGATTGGTGAGGATCCCATCAAGCAGCAGGTTCTGGGCTGGTTTTAACTTCCCAGGAATACCTGCCTGGCTTGGGTCCCTCCCTCCACTTGTAGGCTGGGGATGATTTTATAATCAAGGTGTAAGGAGAGGGGTGTGGTAATTGCCCTGCGTAGGTGTGGGTTCTCACTACTGCCAACCCCTCCACAATTCCTCAGACTGGGAGCAGCACAGAAGGAGGAACCAGCCACTGAGGACTATCGTAGGAACGGCATGGAGAGCAAATGGAGGGGCTGGGTGCTGATCCTCGCTGTGTGCCTGGGCTCCTACCAAGGTAAGGCCAAGCCTGGGGGCAGGGCTCGAGGAGAGCCCAGAAAACCCCTCTTGAACCCCCAAACTATTCCTAGTTCAAGTGTTTAAGCTCCATGGAGTGATTCCTCATCCCTGCATGTGCTGGGAGTTGGGCTGGAGGAGAGCTGGGGCAGGTGGCACCACCGGCTGCTTTACCTCTTGCCCACCTGGATGTGAGCGTTGCAACTTCTGCCCTTAAAAATGATCTCAGGGCAAAATGGTGTTTGGTCCCTCCCTTCTCCAGATAGCGGGGGTTCAGGTGTTTTGCTGGGGTATGGAAGGAGGGAGGCCGGTTGATGGGGTGTCTCAGCAGTGATGGGGGAGAGGGCTGCTTTGCCTGCTGCCCTTGGCTTTGGGGTCTGCCTGCCTATGAGTGATCTGGGCAAAAACACCTTGTTGTCCTTGCACGATGGAGTGACCACGGTGCTGTCTGAGCCTGCCCCTTTCTTTAGGGGCCTCGTAGGAGGTGCAGGAGGCAGGAAGCCTCCTCTGCTGTGGCTTGCCCAGCTCCAGGTAAGGTGATGGGGTGCACTGCTGCTGCCCTGTGCACCTTTGGAGACCTCTCATCATTGGGACTTTGGGTATCTGTGAGCAAATCCTCCTGCAGATAAGCTTATGCTGCCATCCCCTAGGCAGCCCCCCGATAGGAGTGAGGAAGTGATATTTGGCTCATTCCTCTACCCCTCCCCACCAAACAAGTTGGGAAGAGCCTATTTTTACACCCTGGTTCTTGCTCAAGGGGAAATTCCTTATTCCAGGGAAAATTTCTCTGGGGAGGCCACAGACCACTACTGCTGTAGGCAAAAAAAAAATACAAGAAGTAATACTTTTAGAGGGGAGAACCCCTTTTTCACCCTAATTACCCCAGGCTCAGCCCATCTGACTCCTCCGACGTGACCTGTCCAGGCGCCGGCTTTGTGGTGGAAGAGTCGTGACTGCACAGGCTTGGCCTGGTGGTGGGGGGGACATGCCAAGGTGCTCCAGCCGGCAACAGGCAGAGCAGGAAAGTTCACCTACGCCTGGCACGTCCATCCTTGGGGTGATGCCTGCCCTGGAAGCTGGTGGCAATTCTTGTGGTGGTGGCTCGGCTGCCTGGCACGGTGTGGATGGTGTGTCTGTGGGACCGGGGGCCACTGCAAGCCTTGGAGAAGGATTTTGATGCTGGGAAGAGTGTATGTTTTTTGGCATAACAGGGGCGTGCGCCAGGCCAGGAACTGGGGCGCCGGGGCCCACGCCGCCACCTCCGGGGTTTACATCACAACCTGCTCGCCAGGCTCTGCCGGCTCGGCTGGCGTGCTGTGGGGCTGTGCGTAATGCCGGCACAGCCCTGCCAGATCTCCAGCACTGAGCTGGATCCCCCCTGAGCAAAGCCCACCCCACCCCCGGGGCCTGTCAGCTGGAGACAGGGCAGTCCTGGCTGTCCTGGGGCCACCACGGCGCTGTGGGAGCATCCCCACCTCGCCACGTGCTCTGTGCCGGGGCTTTGCTGAAAATGGCATCGTCCAGTGTCCTGCTGCCTGGGTCCCCGTCAGCACAGGGTGGCTCCGGCACAGCTTTGAAATGTGGAGGAGAGCTTGCAGGGCACCAGCTGCCCTGGTTGCTTGCCCTGTGGCAATGCTTTCCACCTGGGGAAGCTCCCCTTTCTCTCAGCAGTTGGGTGTTATGATTAATATTAATTATTTTTGTGGCTCAGCACTTGTTGCCTGAGTTTCAGCTTGAGCAGAGTGAGGAGTAAGCGCCAAGCTGAGCCACCAGGAGCCAGAAGGGTGCAGGTCCAAACCACTGGGGTCTTTTAGACCAGCCAAACCCCACCATGCTGTTGCTGGCAGCTTCCTTAGGCTGCTGGTCCAGTCTCAAGCACGGGGCTGTGAGAGATGCCTGTGTCCATGGATCAGGCAGGACCACCTCAGAAACAAGCTGTGGGGTTGTTGTCTCCCTTCTTTTTTTTTTGGTGCTGTCCCTTAACGCTTCCCCTGACTTGCCATTCCTGTTCGCCTGACGCTAGTGCCAGGGTTAAAAAAATAACTATATCTATCTCAGCTGATGCAGTGACCGTGGCATCGCGCTGCTGGAGAGATGTGTGGGAAGCCGTGCATGGGAAACCGGGGGGACTCGCCCTGCCCCTGGGCTCGCTCCTGCCCTGGTGCTGCTGTCAGCCCGATGGGGCAATCGGGGCTGAAACACCACCCGGCACCCGCCGAGCTGCGCCAGCGCTTTTGGGAGCAGGTTGGGGGTGGGGGGTGACCCTTGGTAGCCTCCTCCTCACAGCTCCCACCCCCAGGGACTTGCCGGGGTGGCCTTGGGCAACTCAAGCCACTGCCCCAACATGTCCTGTGGATGAGTTGAAGGCGTTGCCAAAATCTGGCATGCAGGAAAAGCAGCTCTGGGGAGAAACCTGATAAGGGCAGGGTGGTGGAAGGAGCAGTTTCTGCTTTCAGCTTTATTCCTGCTGTACAAAATCATATGGTCAGGGTCAGGTGGTAGAAGTTGGATAAAAATTCTCTGGGAGGGGTAGTTGTGCTTTGCTTAGAAATGCAAGAGACTGTGCGACAGAGTCTGTTCAGGTGCTGCATCCCATGTGCCCTCTGACTTTCTGGAGCACTTTCTGGCCTAAGCAGGGCAGCGAAGGGCTTGGGTTGTGCCAGCTCCCTGCCTCCTCCCCAGCTGCATCCCGGGTGGGCACAGCCCCCAGTGGGAATAAACACTCACCCCATTGTAAGTGAATCCAAGGTGGCAATTAAACCGCCGGCATTGCGCCATGCCCCTGCGCTGCCCAGGCAGCCGGGGCGGGTGATGGTGCCGCTGCCACCGTGCTGGGGATTTGCAGGCAGGAGAAAATGCTGTCGTTGGGAGGAAATGAAAAAAAAATCCACCCAAAACTGAGGTTGCTTAATCGTTGCCAGGAGCCACGGTGTGGCTAACCAGTTGCTGCGTGAGGCTGAGCACTGGCACCCCCCAGTTTGCTCATTTTGCAAGATTTATTGCAGTTTTTATAAGCAGCCACCTCCCTAGCCTGTTGAAGATCTCTGCAAGGCTGAGGATGATCCCCCAGATTTGTTTTGTATTTGATGCTGTCCCAAAGCTGCTGCAACATCCTGTTGAAAAAGTTGGTGGCATGCAGTGACCCAGCAAAGCTGGTCTTTGCTGTGCTTAAAAAATCATAGAATCACAGACAAGTTTGGGTTGGAAGGGACCTTAAAGACCATCCACTCCCAAACCCTGCCATGGTCAGGGCCACCTTCCACCAGCCCCGGTTGCCCAAAGCCCCATCCAACCTGGCCTTGAGCCCTGCCAGGGAGGGGGCAGCCACAGCTTCTCTGGGCAACCTGTGCCAGGGCCTCATCACCCTCACAGGGAAGAATTTCTTCCTCATATCTAATCTAAATCCACTCTTCTCCAGTTTAAAACTGTTACCCCTCATCCTATCCCTACACCCCCTGATCCAGAGTCCCTCCCCTCTTTCCTGCAGCCCCTTTCGGCCCTGGGAGGCCGCTCTAAGGTCTCCCCGCAGCCTTCTCTTCTCCAGCTGAACCCCCCAACTCTCTCAGCCTGTCCTCACAGGGGGGGCTCCAGCCCCTGAGCATCTTCATGGCCTCCTCTGGCCCTGCTTGAGCAGGTCCATATCCTTCTGAATTTGGTGCCTCCAGAGCTGGACCCAGCACTGCAGGGGGGTCTCACAGAGTGGAGCAGAGGGGGAGAATCCCCACCCTTGCCCTGCTCCCACCCTGCTCTGGGTGCAGCCCAGGAAAAAAATAAATAAATAAAATCCAGCAATCACACCACCATTGCGAAAGTTGAGGGTGAATCACAGTGGGAGGGTGAGAAGCGTCACCCTCGGCTTGTGGGGCAGGGCTTGGGTCAGGGTGCTGGTGGGGAGGTTGGTGTGGAGGAGGAGAGGGTCTATGGGTGCCCCAGGGGCTGACAGTCTCCCCCTCCCCTACAGCCGGGGCCAGCCCCCTCCACGAATGTGGCGAGCAGCCGGAGGACTGGTGCCGCGATGTGGCTACGGCGGCCAAGTGCGGGGCACTGGAGCTTTGCCAGATCACCGTCTGGGACCAGGCCCTGGGGGTAACCGTGTCAGGAGGGGGGATGTGGGGGCATGGTGGGATGTGCCCGTCCTGCCCCAAAATGGGGGGCTGGGGGGAGAATCCCAGCCTTGCCACCCTGACGCTGGGCGCCCAGAGGAACATCCACTGTTGCTCTTGGGCAGCAATGTGTCCGCAGGGTGAGGGGCAAAAATGAGTGGGTACCCCGGGATATCCCCAAGTGCCCCTTGGAGGGGTGTTTTTGAGATAAAGGGTTGGGGTTTGGGGAGCAAGTGGGGGTCTGGGTGCCATAGCAGCATTCCCACACATCCACTTTCAGCAGAAGGGGATCCCGTGTCACCTGTGCCAGGTGGTGGTCTCTGTGGTGGGCAAGATCCTGCAGGACAACCGCACTGAGGTGGGTCATGGCCGGGGGGGGGTGTGCGTGTGTGTGGCTGGTGTGTCCCCCCGCTCCACCATGGGACCAGCCCAGCTCTGAGCTCTCCCCTTATCACCTAGGAAAAGCTGCGGCTCTTCTTGGATAAGAAATGCCAGTACCTGCCCTTCCAGGACTGGTCTGTCAAGTGCAAGAGGATGGTGGACACTGGCATCCTCATCCTCGTCCAGCTGGGCAAGCAAGTGCTGGTAACTGGCTGGGACGACCCCCTTGGATTTACATTTCTCCACGGTTTGGGATGTCTTGGGGGCTTGCAGGGCAAGGGAGGCTCTTGGAGCCTGGGACAAAAACCTTTGCAAGATGGAGATGGGGATGGAATTGACTCAGGGATGGGGGGGAGAGCAGGGTGATGGGGCAGATGAGGCCCCAAGCCCCCACCCCTCTGCTCCCCCAGTCGGACCCAAAGGTGGTGTGTGGGACCATCAGGCTGTGCCAGCCCCGAGAGAGCCCCACGGGGGCCCTGAAGTTTCAGAAGCCGCCGCCAGCCCCTGCAGGCCCCGCTCAGGACTTCGCTGACCTGGTTGCCCCCTTCATCGCCAACGTGCCCCTCCTGCTGAATCCCCAGGACCTGCCCCGTGGCGAGGCCCAGGTACCATGGTACAGGCGAGAATGCCATTGATGCTGCTTAAGGGTGAGAATCACCTAAGCATGACCTATCTTCTAATAATTTTAAAAAATATTAAAATTACCACACAGCTGAAATGCCATCTGGTTAGGGGTGTCACCAATTTGGGGATATTGCAGGATGCAGGGGGGGGACGGGGACACCAGAGACATGCCAGCCAAAAAGCTGCCCCAAATTACAACCAGAATTTAAATCCCAGCCCTGCAACTTAATGCAAACGCCAGGGGAGTTCAGTTTTATTTTTGGGGAGGGGGATACTGATGTGTGCCTGCCCGTGTTGTCCTGCAGGAGAAGGAAGAGGTGTGCGGGGACTGCCTGCAGCTGGTGGCGGCAGTGCAGCTGGAGCTGGGGACCAGTGCTGCCTTTGCCCAGGCGTTGGTGGCCCACGGCGAGCGGGCGTGCGAAGGCCTGGCACCCGACCTGGCACGCTGGGTAAGGGCTCCCACATCACGCTTGGGCTCCCTCCTCCTCCTCGAGGTGGCACCGGAGCATCTTTGGCAGCTGCCTGCTTCCAAGCAGCGCCCAGGGCAGGCTGACCGGCCGCAGACGGGGCGGTGGGGTGTCCTCGGGCGCTGACACCGTGTCTCCCCCCACACAGTGCAAGCACTACCTGGCCAAGTACGTGGACGTGGTCACCCAGCTGCTCCAGTACATGGTAAGTGGGTCCTGGGCTGCTGGGGGAGGGGGGTGCTGGCGGGGGGGCCGAGCGGCACACCTGAAGGGACCTCATCAGCAAATGTGGGGCCCTGCTCTCTCTTTTTTTTTTTTTTAATTAAACCCACAAGCTTTTAAATATTTTCTCCCACTCTCTCTGGCTTGCAACTGCTGTAATTCTTTTTTATTTTCATTTTGTCTTGCTGATTTCTGGCCCCTCCACCGGTAGCAGGCTGAGGTAAGTGAGATCCATGCCCTGATGGGCTGAAATCCCCCTCCATGGGAAGTGGGGGGGCGCGGGCTCACCCTCCCGGGGGGGATGCCCACCCGATTCAGGTTGTCTCTCTCCCCAGGACCCCCAGGAGCTGTGTGGCCATCTGGGACTCTGCTCCTCCACCTCGGCACTGCCCCTCCACATGCTGCTCACAAAGAAGGTGACACAGGTCCTGAGCGTGCTGGGGGTAAGTGGGAACAGCCCCCCCCCAACTCTGCTGTGCTCCTTAAAATCCAAACACTGGGAACAGGGAGCCTTATTTTGCCTTTTTTTTTTTTTTTTTTCCCTCGAGCGTCTCCATTTTTCCAAGGTGGGGAATGCCTTTTGTGGGGGTTGATGGCTGGGTGGGTGGGATGCGGGCAGCTCTGAGGGGGCTTGGCCTGTGTCCCACTGCCTTGTCCCAACAGGATGAGGAGGGCACCACGCCGCTGTGTGAGATGTGCCAGTTCGCTGTGAAGACGGCTGAGAGCCTCCTGGAGAACAATGTGACAGAGGTGAGTCCCGTGGCTGCGTTACAGGGATGGGAGGGACTGGGAAAGGGGCTCAAAATGGGCAGCAAGGAGCTGGGGTGTTTCACTTTACCTGCTTTCTCCCGGCAGGAGCAACTGGTGAACGACATTGAGAAGGTGTGCTACATGCTGCCCCACGGAGTCATCGGGCAGTGCAAGGACTTCGTCGACTCCTACGGCAAAGCCGTGGTCATCATGCTGCTGGAGGCCACCGACCCGGAGGCCATCTGCACCATGCTGCACTGCTGCCCCCGGAGAGGGGACACCGCCCGAGGTCAGCTGGGGGGACCCGGGTGGGCACCCAGATACCGGGTGCTGGGTGGGGGGGTGCTAATGGCCCCCCCTCATGTCCCCCAGGGGCTGCGGCGCTGGAGCAGCTGGCAGTGGGTGCGGGCGCCTTCTGCAATGTCTGCCAGATCTTCATCACCTACTTTGATAACGAGCTGCTGAAGAACGAGACGCTGTCGGAGCTGGGTGACATGCTGGAGAAGGGCTGCGAGCTGCTGCCCCCGCCGCTCACCGGCAAGGTCAGCTAGGGTGGGGGAGCACCCAGGCCGGTGGGGACCCCCCCGACCCTCCCCATCGGGCTCACCCCCTCTCTCCTTCCCAGTGTGAGGCGATCGTGGTGCAGTACGAGCCGGCGGCCGTGCGGCTCCTGGTGCAGATGATGGACCCCACCTTTGTCTGCACCGTAAGTGTCACCGTGCCATGGGCGCTGCACCCACTCCCTCCCCTGGGCAGGGCAGCCCGGACCAAGATGGGCATCTTTTATCCAAGCCTGGTGGGGTTGGAAGAGTGGAAGTGGGGTCAAAGGGTGCTCATGGGGGTTTTTTTCTTCCCCCTCCCACCCTTTTCCTTTGCAATGCAGAAAATAAGAGCCTGTGAATCACCCAAGGAGGATCTCCTGGGCTCGGACCCCTGTGCCTGGGGCCCGCACTACTGGTGCAAGAACATGGCCACGGCAGTTGAGTGCCACGTAAGTGTCAGCTGCATCCCCTGCCCTGGGTCTGCAGGGTGCTGGGGGTCCCTGCTTCCCCCCTCCCATCCCTCCCTGCCTCTCCCACAGGCTGTCGAGCACTGCCGGCGTCACCTATGGAACTAGGAGCCACCTCCCCGGCCGGCCGGCCTTGCCCTGCCGTTTTGGTTCAGGATCCCAAAGCCCCTCTCTTGGGATGTGCCTGCACCTGCGGACGGCGACAGCCGGAGTCCACCGGCCTCTCACCCCGGCGGGGGCTGTGGGGTGCCCCAGCCGCCTCCGCCACTTCCTTTTCCACCCCTGGGGCTTGGATTTCCAAATCAGGTTAAGGGACTCATTTCTCAGGACTGGGGATTCAACCTCGCTGACTCTTCGGCCGACTGCAAAATCCCACCATCTCTCCCCATTCGCATCCTTCTCCTCACCCCATCCCACCCTGCCCTGAACCGCTCGTAAAGCCAGATCCTGCGACGTGGATCCGTCCCCCTGGGCTGGATGGTTTCTGTTGCCCGAATGCCAGCACCCCAGTCCTGCCTGCTGGCAGTCTCACACCGCAGGTCTCTGGCTTTTGGCAAGCCCAGCTCTTTGCTGGTCCCTCTTCAATTAGGGGTGGCTTTTTTTTTTTTTTTTTTTTTTTTTTTTTTTTTTTTTTTTTTTCCCTGGTCACCGGTTAAAGAAACAAAGTGGATTAAATTTACCTGCAATGCCTGGCTTTGCATGACATTTGCAGTGTACTGATTTTGTGTCCGGCTGATTGCTGGAGATAGTTAGATGTATTTTAAGCATCCACTGAACAAAAATATGTGTGAGTTTGGGGGCAAAGATTTCCTTTCATGCAGACATCCCTGCCTGAAGGGGTCCCATGCCAACCCAACCCTGAGTCAGTGGGGTGCTGGCTTGTCCCTTCCTGCCGCAGCAGGGGGGGCGCTCGCAGTGCCCAGTCCTGAGTGTGCACGGGAGCATCTCACTGCAAATAAACTCTTCCCGTGAGCCCGGCTGGTTGTGTCCCTCCAACTCCTGGGGTGCCATGGGGCTGACAGCATGGCGAGAGGGGGAAAACCTGGGGGAGGTTTAATGCTGCCCCCAAGGTCCAGGGCACAGCAACAGCTGGGGCAGCGTCTAGTGAAGCTGGTGGATTGAGGGGGTGAATTAAGGGAAAAAAGGGAGGTTTCTCTTCAAAAGGTGGTTTGAGTATGAGGAAACCATCATGGCGCAGTCGGGGAGGAAGGACGACAGACAGGTTACCCAAAGCCATAGACAGTGTATTTCTGAGTCCCGTAACAGACCGTGCCCGAAACTCTCCACAAGGTTACGATTGGAAACAAACCCCCGAACGAACAAACCCGAAAGCAAGAGAGAAGGGGAAAGAAAAGGGCAAGAAAAGACACGCACGAGCACTCCACATCCAGAAGCCCCAGTTATTGTCAGTCTCTCGCTTTTCTTTGTCAATGTCGCAACATGTTTTGGTAAAGCCAGCAAAATGGAGAAATGTCTTTTTTTTTTTTTTTTTTTTTTTAAAAAAAAAGTTTTTTTTTTCATAAGAAAAATAAAAAAAATTTAATGTTTTCATGGATAAATGACAGGCGAGTAAAAGCATACCGGTCCTGAGAGCCCTTTCCCGGGGCCAAGCTCTCCAAGGCTGCCGGAGTGAACCGCACCGGTTGGCCTGGACTCCTTCTGCAGGGGAAGGGGGGCCAAGCACCGGTCGCCGGGTGCCCCCAGCCCCCACCACAGCCCCCCTGATCCATGCTTCATTCCTGCTGGCCCCGTCTTGCCTAGAGGAGCACCACCACCACCACCACCACCGCTCGTCATAACTCGGTGATCTCCAGAGGGCTCTCCATGATCACCTCCCGCATCTTGTGCAGGGGGGTGGACTTGGCTGACTCGGTGCGGGCGTTGTGGTCACTGTAGCCCCCGCAGTCGGCGGTCAGAGTCTCCAGCGAGCGACCCAGCACCTTCTGGTCATCCTCGGGCAAGCTGTTGAGGTCAGAGGCGAGCAGCGTGCCCGTGCTGCCGTGTACCACGTGGATGCCATCGGGACCTTTCAGCTCCACCGGCTGCTTGTGTCGGAAGCGGAGGCTGCCCTGGCTGGGGCTGCGCTCCTCCTCCTCCTCCTCCAGCTCCTTCTGGATCAGCTGCAAAAGGTCCATGGAGCGGTGGGGAATCACGACTGCGGTCAGAGCAGATCCTGGCTTCCCCACCTCCGAACCTCCTGCAGTGCTGGAGCCCAGCGGGAGGGACGGGAGCCTTTCTGAAGTAACCTCAGAGCACCATGATGAAGATCACCAACACGAGGATGATCTCTGGCTGGATCACTCGCTCATCAGGTGGCCACCCTGGGTCAGGCTGCCAGTTGGGTGATGTGTCCCGCAGCAGCCCCCACAGTGGCCAAGAGAGGGTTTTGGACCCAGGTTGGGATTTGGGGTTGTATGAGGGTGGTGGTGCAGGAGGCAGACAAGGAAAGGAGTTGAGGAAAGGCTGAATGGGCTGGAGGGAGATAAGGGCAAGAAGAGATGATGGGGCAGAAGGGCTGAAAGCTGTCTCCTGTCCCTCTGTTCTCCTCCACTCTGTCTGTCCCATGTTTTGCCCCCCATGAAGAGGGGGAAGGCTGCAGGAGGAGCTGCTTCTCCCCACACAAGCACTCCTGCATCAAAACACTCTGACCCAGCCTTTTTGCCTCAAAAACCTGCTGGGTTAATAATCTCAGAGGAGCAGAGGGGAGGGAAGATGTCCCCATGTGCGTGCAGGGATCTGCAGCTTCTTGGCCAGCCTTGGCAGAGAGACAGAGAGGTGATGGACAGAGACCACCCCACAAAGTGGGGGATCCTCCTCCAGGGTAGGAGACACCAAGGGAGAGGGTGCTGCTGATGCTCAGAGGAACCATGGGGGTCACGAGAGCTGATGCACTGTGGGGAACTGGCAGCCTCAGTGGAAAACCAGCATCTGGCTCATTTTGGCCAAGCAGAGAATGAGGGGGAACCACTGGGTGACAGGGACTGCGGCCGTGGGGGGTAACCACAGCCTGCAGAGCTAGGAAGACACACTGCATCCCAGAGGGCACGGCAAGCATCTCCCCACGCCCATGCACACCCCATCTACCTCTGAGACCGAGGAGCGGTCCCCCTGACTGGAGGTGGCCTTATGCACCATCCGCTGGGCAAAGAGTTTTTTCAAGCGCATGTAATCATCCAGGACCACCTTCAAGAGAGAGCCCTGGGCGGAGGGGGGAGAGATGGCAGGTTACCAAGGGACATGGTTTGGTTGGCGGGAGGCTGGCCTTGTCCCAGAATTTTTTTGAGTGATATCACCCTCCAGCACCGCAGCTGTGAACCTGGAAGCCATAGCAGTAGGAGAAGCCCCCCTCAGTGAAGGGTGCCCGCAATCAGCACTCACCTTGATGGGTCCCTCCCGCATGATCTGCCCCAGCTTGGCAATGTTGTCGTACTCCTGGATGGCTGCCCGCAGGTAGCGGTCATCCTCGGGCTTGGCCGCGGAGGGCTCTCTCCCGAAGGTCCCCTGCGGGAGGAGAGAGCGGCTGAGGAGGCGGTGTGGGTGTTGGGCGTGGGGAGGAGGTGTCCTGGTGGGGTCTGTGTCTCACGTGGGTGCGGGCAGGGCTGTTCCAGAGGTCGGTGATCTCGCTCAGGTTCTCTGGCAGGTCATCCTCGTGCTCTGCCTGTGCCGCCAGCTCCATGTTCCTGCAGAAGGGGTCCAGCCACACTGGGTTGGCCCTGCCCAGGGGAAGAGAAGCAGCCCTCAGCACAAAGAGTGGCAGCATCCCTAATGCCATCCCGAGTCCGGATGCTGAGGTTGCGCTGCCTCCTCCTGCCCCGTGCAGGCGTGAATTTGTCTTCTCTGGATCCAGATGTGTGTCAACACCCGACTGTCATCTTTACTTACTGCAAGCCTGGCCAGTATTGGCAGAGATGGATTCACAGGAGAAAGCACAAGGTCTTTGGACTTTAAAATCTCACAAGACACGCATGCATCCCAGGGCCAGAGCCATGTCCCATACGGCATGCCTGGCCTCCTGCCTCCACAGAGCAGAGAGGCATTGCATGTCAACCTCCCGCACCTCACTGGCTGCAAAACACGGGCGTCAAGCTCTCAGGAGCAGGCTGTGATCCTGTGAGGTGGCAAACCAAGGGGAAGGAAGGGGAGAACTCACCCATCAAAGGAGTACTTGTTGGTGTTCGGCATGTCCATGATGTCCATGAAGCCTCTGTTCCCTGAAAAAGGCAGAGGCAGGGGTTACAGGACGGGGGTTACAGGGCAGCGCATCAGCAAGCTGAGCAGTGAACCACGGGGAGACTCTTTATTGGAGAGGGAAACTTGGCGACCAAAAAGGCACTGGTGGCGTGAGAAACATGCTGAATGCAGCTGATAATGTGGAACCTGGATGCTGAGAAAAGCCTCCCCATCATGCCTTGCTGAGCAGGATCGCTTCTGATTTACACCCCACTGACAGCCCCTGCGTCTTCCCTGTGCACACACCCCCCCACC